CCCGCGCCCCGCGGCCCCCCGTCCGCGCGCCCCGCCGCTCCGGCGTTTTTTTCGTTTAGTTCTGCTGTGGACTCTTGTGCTGTTGTTTTCCTCTTACCTAACGACTCCGCCGCCGGCTCTCGCCGCTGCCCGCCTCCCGCCCGGGCTCCCTCCGCAGGCTCGCCCCTCGGGTCCCGGGAGCCGGCGACGGTTTCCCGAGCTGCCCCGGCCGCTGCTCCTCGTCCCTGAGCCCGACCCTTCGCCGGTGCTTTCTGCTTTGGCCCTAGAAATGCTATTCCTTTCCTAGGGCCCCCTGCTTCTGGCTCCAGGGCCCGGAGCCCCCTTATTTTACTCGGGAAAACCCCGCGGGGACCCGGACCCTCAGCGCTTGGCTAGGGGTGCTCTCTTCACTGGATGCGGGCCGGGCACAGTCGCCGGTTTCGGGAAACCGAGAAGTCAGAGTCATTTCCCAGAGCCGCGCGCCCCCAGCCACCCACGCAGCCTGCCTGAGAGCCCTCCCCGGGGGCTCTTGGCTTGTCCTGTTAACCCCTCAGCCAGGGAGTTAGGACCGTGGTTTTGCCTCCTAAAATGTCACCACGGACTTCAAGGCCAAGGGAGGGTCAACTTATTTCAGTTTGATTCTAAGAGATAAAGATGAAATAGATAAGAAATAAATAGCTTGGTACTTGAAGAAGGTACAAGACAGATGGGAGAAACAGGAGCGAACTGGCAGAGACAGACAGCTCAGGGACGGATAAGATCGACAAATAAAGAGCCCCTAAATAAATAGGGAAGGGGAGAGGGGCAGACAGAAGATTTCGGTCTCTTCACCGAGGGCTTTTGAACTTGGACCCCTTGTGTGGTTGAACTTGCCCTTCTGGAAATGGATTTGCCTTTCTGGCCGAGTTTAGGGGAGAGGCCCTCGGGGTTGGACTTCCCGGGCTGTAGAGGTACCCGCAACCCGGCCGGTGGGAGCCTTGTTTGTCTGAGGACACGTGGCTGGGCCGAGCGACCTAAAACACCCTAAACATCAATCACCAGGTCCCGCTCCACGCGGCTGCTGAGGTCTGCGGGCACGGCTGTCTCCGTCTGGGCCGGAGCACATAGCACAGGACCATACAATTTCTGCGCCTGGAGCCTTGCCGTGGCTGTGAAGACGCACCAGGACTGGTTGCTTCTGGCCCGCATGAGGAGTCTGGACAGAGCGGAATGAAGGCCCCTCAGAGAAGAAACACTCCCATAGCAGGAACTCCGATCCTCAAGGACTGCGTTTGGCCTGATAGGAGAAGCACGTTGTGACAGAGGAAGGCCCAGAGGGTGGGCCATCAGAAGTGAAGAAGTAGCTCCTGAGGAACTTCTCTGAGAGCCTCTCTGTCCCGTGCACTGACCCAAATGGAAACCAGCTTTGGTTTGGAACGAAGCTAAAGATGCTGAAAATGTGGCTAGATACTGCTCAACCCTTGTCCTACTGATGGCTGGAAAGAAAACGGCTTCTACAACTAGCCGGAGTCTTTCTGCTCAACGAACGCGGGGCGCCAGGCGTGAGAAGAGAAGCTCGGGTTGGTGGAAACCTGTACTGTGGTCCCCGGAAGCCGGTCAGCACGGAGCTGGGCGCGGTGGGGGCCGCCCTGGGTCCGGGAGCACACGGCGCGCTTTGGAGAGGGTATGGTTCAGCACCGCGAACAGCGGCCGCCTCCGCCTCTCCCCCTCCCAGGCAGCCCCAGGTCCCTCCTCCTCCCTGCCCCCTCCTCGCCCCCCGCAGCGTGAAGGTGGGCAGTGACCGCTCCTCCCTAGCCTCCCCACGCTGCCCCCGCCCTCCCGTACGTGCGCTACTGAGCAGTAGCTCCTCAGGTCCCCGAAGTTCGGGCTTCAAGACCCCGGCTGGCAGGGCAGGCTTCGAGGATGGCTGAAGGCGCGTGGATCTGAGCGCCAGAAAGCCTGGATCTAATGGCATTGCTGTGTGGCCTTGGGCAAGTCGCTCTCTGTCTCTGGGTCCCACTTCCTTCCCAGTGCGAAAATGGGATTGGGCTCCTTGCAGCCGGGGCATTCCTCGGGTCTCCATTACCCCTCTCCTAACTCAAAGCCGGGAGCTTTTATTCCGGCGCTGACACGGGTCTGAGTAACAAAAGACTCCCATTCCGGGCACCAAAGAGCCGGGACTCCCCACTGCCAAGTATTCCCCCCGCGCCTGGCTCGGTGCGCCCCGCTGGGCGGGCTCGAGCCGAGGCGGCTGCGCTGGAAATGGCTCATCTGCTCTCTGCTTTCTCTGTTTCGCAGGAGCGGCGGCATGGAAGCTCTCACCACTCAGCTGGGGCCGGGTCGCGAGGGCAGCTCCTCGCCCAACTCCAAACAAGAGCTGCAGCCCTATTCAGGTTCCAGCGCCCTCAAACCCAACCAGGTGGGCGAGACATCGCTGTACGGGGTCCCTATCGTGTCGCTGGTCATCGACGGCCAGGAGCGCCTGTGCCTGGCGCAGATCTCCAACACCCTCCTCAAGAACTACAGCTACAATGAGATCCACAACCGCCGCGTGGCCCTGGGCATCACGTGCGTGCAGTGCACGCCGGTGCAGCTGGAGATCCTGCGCCGGGCCGGGGCCATGCCCATCTCCTCGCGCCGCTGCGGTATGATCACCAAGCGCGAGGCCGAACGGTTGTGCAAATCCTTCCTGGGCGAGCACAAGCCTCCCAAGCTGCCTGAGAACTTCGCCTTTGACGTGGTGCACGAGTGCGCGTGGGGCTCGCGCGGCAGCTTCATCCCCGCGCGCTACAACAGCTCCCGGGCCAAGTGCATCAAGTGCGGGTACTGCAGCATGTACTTCTCGCCCAACAAGTTCATCTTCCACTCGCACCGCACCCCCGACGCCAAGTACACCCAGCCCGACGCCGCCAACTTCAACTCGTGGCGCCGTCACCTCAAACTCAGCGACAAGTCGGCCACGGACGAACTGAGCCACGCTTGGGAGGACGTCAAGGCCATGTTTAACGGCGGCACGCGCAAGCGGACCTTCTCGCTGCAAGGAGGCGGCGGAGGCGGCGCCAACGGCGGGTCAGGCGGGCAAGGGAAGGCTAACGCCGGGGGCGGCGGCCCAGGTTGTGGCGCCGAGATGGCCCCAGGCCCACCGCCCCACAAAAGCCTGCGCTGTGGTGAAGACGAGGCTGCCGGGCCTCCGGGTCCACCTCCTCCCCACCCGCCGCGCGGACTGGGGCTGGCGACAGGAGCCGGCGGCCCGGCGGGCCCGGGAGGGCCTGGAGGCGGTGTGGGCGTGCGCAGCTACCCGGTGATCCCGGTGCCCAGCAAAGGGTTTGGTCTCCTGCAAAAGCTGCCCCCGCCGCTCTTCCCGCACCCTTACGGGTTCCCCACGGCCTTCGGCCTGTGCCCCAAGAAGGACGACCCGGTGTTGGGCGCGGGGGAGCCCAAGAGCGGCCCTGGCGCTGCGAGCGGCGGCGGAGCCACGGGCACCGGAGCGGGTGGCCCGGGAGCTGGCCACTTGCCCCCGGGAGCAGGGGCGGGCCCTGGCGGCGGGGCCATGTTCTGGGGACATCAACCCTCCGGGGCAGCCAAGGACGCAGCGGCCGTGGCTGCAGCGGCAGCGGCCGCCACCGTGTACCCGACGTTCCCCATGTTCTGGCCAGCCGCAGGCAGCCTCCCGGTGCCACCTTACCCGGCCGCACAGAGCCAGGCCAAGGCCGTGGCGGCCGCAGTAGCAGCGGCGGCGGCGGCGGCGGCCGCGGC